TTAAATAATTATGATATACCAGCTGATTTTACATTGAATGAAAATGAGCAATTATTATCATTCTCGTCATCAAATTCAAATATTAATCAAGATGACGAAGATGAACGTATTACTGGACAAGAAAGTTCAGATGAGGGTGAATCAGAGACGGTGTAAGATACAAATATAAATGAAGATCTTATCGATTGGTCATTATTCACAGATTTAATCAATACAGAAGATCATAATAAGGAGTTTACTTTCAGTTCATTTGAAAAACATTACATTCGTTTTCTACTTGATTTACGTGAAGGACATTTATTACCACAAGGCATCATTAAATCAATCACATCTTATTTCACAGCTATGCTGGACGCATTATTTAAACTAATCGAAAATCAAGCAATACAATCATCAACAAATCCATTAATCTCATTAGTTGATATAGGAAAAGTATTATTACAAATAAAAAACTTAATATATGATATTTCTAAGAACGACTATCAATTCCTGAAACGCTGCACAGATTATTTTGGATACACAGAGCCATTAAAAATTGAACTAGATGATAAAAATAATTGTGGTTATTATGTTTCAATTGAAAAAAGTATTCAAAATTTATTGAACAAACCAGATATTATTAATTATTTAATTGATAATGTGACTAATAATATATCACAAACGAAGAATGATCCTGATTTGATGTTAACATACCGAGACGGTACTGCAGCAATAGATAATCCTTCATTAAAACTTCATCCTAATTCATTTTTAATTCAACTCTATTCAGACGGAATTGGAATAACAAATCCTCTAGGTCCAAAGAAGGACAAACATAAACTTACCTTATATTATTTCCTTTTAGAAGATTTACTAGATTTTGTAAAATCCATGTTGCAATCGATTGGTCTAGTTGGAATATGTCCGACAAAATTTTTATCGATACAAACAAATCGTATGAAATTTTTTGAACCTATTATAAACGATTTGAATCATTTACAAACAACTGGTTTAGTTGTTCAAACATTCAATGGACAATTACATTTTGCATTTAGCTTATTCGCAGCTGACAATCTTGCATCAAACGAAATTGGAGGATTTCAACAAAATTTTAATTCGGGACAATTTTGTCGATTATGTCACATTTCTTATAAATTCAGATTGATTCCATTAACAGATATTTCATTTCTGCCACGCACAGTAACTACAAATGATGCATATGTTCGACAAGCTGTAAACTTGTTTAATACAAGACCTGTTGCTGGTGTTGTAGGTGAAAGTCCTTTGTCCAAATTGATTGCTTTTCATGCAATCAAATCTTTGCCAAATGATTTGATGCATGATTATGCGGAGGGTATAAATAAGAATGTTGTTTTTATCTATTTGCTCTAAGTTATTTTCTGTGTTCACATTATTTAGGCGTGTGCCCGCTCATAGTTTTAGCTATGTTAAAAGAAATCTCAGCGAAACGTCTCATGACATATAATCAAACAGAACAAAAAATACATACATTTAGTTACGGAATGAATGATCAGGTTAATAAACCGCCTACAATTCGTCCAACACATCTTACAAATAATAATATAATTGGTTCAGCAAGTCAGAAGCTATACTTATTTAAATTAATGCCATTCATATTTCACGATGTCATTGATCAACTAACAAATACGTTAGATATTTATACTTGCCTACGTGAAATAATTAGTTATACTTGCTCAATAAAATTCAGAAAATCTTGGTTAATGTACTTTCAATCGTTAACAATACGTTTTCAGTCGTTAATGGCTCATCATTTACCCGATCTCATTATACCGAAAATTCATTTTGTCACTGAGTATCTGAGAACAATTAATGCAAATGGACCAGCAACTCGTTTTTGGTGTATGCGGTTTGAAGGTAAACACTTGTATTTCAAGAGATTGGCTATTAGATCGTTGAATTTCAAAAATCCAGCATTTACTCTTGCCAAAAGACATCAACTTCGACCATGTCTAATGTTATCCAATAAGAATTATTATAATATATGTACTAAGATAACATTGTTAAAAAACCATCCAATATTCTTCATTACCAATACCTGTTCAACGTTTATTAACAGAAAATGATATTAATCAAAACATATTTGATGAATGTAAAACAATTTATTACAAAAATGTTATGATGATGAGACAATCAGTATTTGTCGAAAGATTAGTTGATGTAGAAGAAGAACCATGTTTTGTTTCTATCCTGTATTTCTTAAAAATACAAAATATTTGGAAAGCAGTTGTTGAACATTTACAAGTGATAGGATTCAATGAAACACTTTGGGCGTACGAGATCGAATTTTGTAAAACATTCGATCTATTAGACTTGGATCAACTTCTACACATTTTACCACATGGACTAGATATTTATTATGTTCAAGGTTCTGCTTATGTTAATATTTTATCTCGTTTGACTGTTTGATGTTATTTAATGGATATCTCCTTTTCTTTCCATTTCATATCTATTTCACGTTTTTCTTTTGTTTACAACCAACCAGAGCTCTCATCATATCTTATCCATATGCCTTTTCATATAGTTTTACTGATACATTTCTTCAATTTTTATTTAGAAGAGGAAATTGATGGAGCTACATTAGCAAGATTGCCATACGATGAAGTACGTACATTATTTCCAAACTTAAAAGATCGAATATTATTCACTGAAAAACGTGACTTATTAATCAAACAATGTGATAACATTGCAAATGAACAATTAGATGATGGGGATATTTTGAATCAATCTAGCAAACAAACATTTGATACATGCACGGCATTACAATCAACAACTTCAACACAAGATTTGCTAAATAATCCATCATTATCTAGTAACAATATGAATGGTGACGAATTTGATACAGCATCAAATATCGATGATGAGGTTAATCATGATGAAACTGATGATTTAGAAGAACCTCAACAGAATTTGCCAACCGATTTTGCATTTTCATCACTACCAGAAGAAATACAAGTGATTATTGATGAGAATAAGTTAATGAAACTCCGTGGACATACAAATCATAGACGAATACTGCTCAACTTTGTGTTTAAAGCTGTTGCTACCACATATAATTTATTGTATAAAATAATAGAAATGAATTTTGTGGATTCAAAATCAAATTTTGTTTTTTTTTCACGATAGATATCCTGAAGCAAATGATTATTTTTTAATTACACAAACTTTGCTCAAAGCATTAAATATTTCAACAACAGATGCAAATGCAGCTGTAAGAAAATATTTGTTCTTATAATTTTCTCGAACAAATTATTCATAGAATGAATGGCGAGAAGCAGTAAAACAAAAGTTCAAAAATGGACGTCGACTTTTACAAAACACATCTGCAGTAGTACAGAGAAAAAAAGAAAAATTTGGAAAAGATTCTGGACGCTTTGCAAAAAAAAGTGAAGCACTATCTGCTGAACGAAAATCTGATAAAATGGTCAGTTGAAATTTAATTCTAAAATTAGCATACAAAATAATGTTCTTCATTGTTTTAGATTTATGTTAGTACTATTATGGATGAAAGTGATGTTGAACAATTAATCATAACAATGAACGAAGGTATTGAAAATGAAACAATACATAACGACGAATTAATTACATTATGGAAAAAAACGTTTGGTTATCGTCGGTCATTCGTTCGTTCACACACAATTAATGAAATACTAGATAAATTTCCTGGTTATTCATATACACATTTCGTAAGTTTATTTTAAAAATATGTTTTTCTCTCAGAGTTTTATCATCTTTATTTCTTAGATGTTTGAAGAAGTCAAAATGATTGAAAACATTGACATTGAACAGAATGTAAATGAAATATTACCACGTTTATTTGATAAATTACCGAATAATTCATTATTTGTCATTGGTGAGTAAGATGTAAAAAGTTAAAAAATTAAGTATGTTCTTCTTTTAATATGATCGATAAAAAATTTATATAGATATTAAAATATTAAAATTAATTATTGCAAGAGAATCTTTATTGCTAAAATTTGGTCTTTAATTATTCTCTATAATCGGTCTGATATTATTTATTGCTGAAGAATAAAAACAGTTGGATTAAAACAACAAAAAATCGTTTTATTCATATTTTGTATTTTCATTATGTTTAGATTTGTTACCAATTCGTGTAATAAAATTATTGTGTAAACAATTTAATCAATCTATCAGTCATATATTAGTTGGTAATGTAAGATTTTAATTTTAGAATTAAACTATTTATGTTTTTTTACAAATACTATTGTCTTTTCTCTTGTATACTTTGTGTAGGAGCCAACTGTTCCAGCTCCTTGTATTAAAGTTACGAACGAAAAATTTGAATTATATCTCGATTGGAAATTAATTATAAGAACAACAAGTCCTACAACAGCATTAGCATTATTATTATCGTTATATAATGTATTTTCAATTAAGTTTGCTAAAAACAATCATACTTCTCATTTACTATATGGTGTATTTTTTCAAAATGGAGATGAACTTGGTAAAAATCTACGAATTATATTAAATTCATGGCATTTCACATTCGAAGATCGAATAAAACATTCTCAAATTCAAGCAACAAACGTTATCGATTCTGTCAGTATGCCATCCACGTCAAACTTACAGGTTCGTTCTACATCAGCAACAACGACAGAAATTATTCAATCATCTATAATATTGAACAATAAAGAAAATCAATCACCTACATCACCACAATCAATTCCATTAATAATAGACGAACAAGAAGAACAATAGCCGTCTGATAATCCATTAATACAAGTGCATGAATCTGAACAAATGGATATTGCTATTGAGACACCATCAATCTCGTCAATATCTTCAAGAATCAAAGCAAAATCTAACACAAAAACAAAATCTCGTACTTCTTCGAATTCTCAAAATGCAGCATTGAGAGATGTAACAAACAAAGAAGAAACATCAACTGCATTAGCCAAGCACAAAAAAAGAAAACTGCCACCATCACCACAACAACAACAAAAACAGTCATCACGTTTAATAGCTAAAAGAAGTCGGCAAGACGATTCTTCTTTTTAAATTTAATTCAGACAAACTTTTTGTCTAAACTTTCATTTTTTCATTTTTCTTCTCAGTCTTATTATCTTTTGTTACATGTTAAAAAGGTCAATTCGTTAATTATCACCATGTTCAAACTTTGACTTCTTATATTAAGCTACAAATACATTCAGTAAATTCTTCAAAGAGTATTATAAACAATACGATACATTTAACAATTCACACTGAAACACGAAAATCATCTTCTTTAGTTTCTATTATCTATTCTTTCAAATAAAAAAACAGCAAAAGAAAAGCAGCTACAACAGTTCGCACATTTAAATACTGCTCAACAAACGAACAGATCCATCTATTTTCAACACGACTGATTCAAAACGTCATTTTCGACGACATATTTCTATGAAAACTATTTTTCATAAAATCAGTGTAGCTCATTCTTTAAATTCCAAACCTATCCATCTTACTCATGAAGTTTACATTCACTAATAATTAAACCATGAAACATACTACTTAAATGAATCATTACTTTTCTTTTTAATCTTTTTTTCGATGGAAGCTAAGTAAACATTTGACTTGTAAGTTTATAACTAATTAAATCGACTATTTATTTATTTTGTTATTCTTTTTCTTTAGGTTGATGTTGATGAAGCGTTCAACGGTAAGATATAATATTAAATTAATAATTACTTGACTTTTTTACCTTTATTTAGATCGAAGCTAAATAAACATTTTAACCGTAAGTTTATAATTTACTGATCAACTATTTATTCATTTTATTATTTTTTTTGTTGATTGATGTTCATCAAACGCTTTATGGTAAGACAGTTCTTAAATTAATTGTTACTTTTCGCTTCAATTTTCATTTAGATGGAAGCTAAACAAGAATTTCAATCGTAAGTTTATAACTAATTCATCAACCATTTATTTGTTCTTTTACTCTTTTCTTTAGATTAGTGTTGATAAAGCGCTTGATCGTAAGACATAGCTCTTAAATTAACAATTACTTTTCTTTTTCATTTTCATTTAGGTATAACCAAAACAAACATTTTAATGGTAAATATATTACTAATTAGCCGATTATTCATGTATTTTGTTATTGTTTTTCTTTGGGTTGATGTTGATGAAGCGTTTAACGGTAAGATATAATCTTAAATTTATTATTACTTTTTTTTTCAATTTTTATTTAGATAAAAGCGAAACAAGAATTTCAGTCGTAAGTTTATAACCAATTCATCAACTATTCATTTGTTTTTTTATTCTTTTTCTATAGTTTGATGTTGATAAAGCGCTTGATGGTAAGATATAATACTTATATTAATTATTACTTTTCTTTTTTTGTCTTTATTTAGATGGAATTTAAACAAACATTTTAATCGTAAGTTTATAATTAATTCATCAACTATTTATTTGGTTTATTATTCTTTTTTTTTAGGTTGATGTTCATCAAGCATTGAATGGTAAGATATGCTACTTAAATTAATGATTACATTTCTTTTTAATCTTTATTTAGATAGCAGCTAAACGAACATTTTATAGTAAGTTTATAACTAACTGATCAACTATTTATTTATTTTAGTGTTCTTTTTCTTTAGGTTGATGTTGACAAAGTGTTGAATGGTAAGAAATAGTTCTTAAATTTATTATTACTTTTCTATTTAAACTTTATTTAGATGGAAGCTAAACAAACGTTTTAAGGGTAAGTTTATAACTAATTCATCAACTATTTATTTGTTTTTTATTCTTTTTCTTTAGATTGATTTTGATGGGGCGTTTTATGGTAAGACCTACTACTTAAATTAATAATTACTTTTTTTAATTTTCATTTATATGGAAGCTAAACAAACGATTTGATGGTAAGTTCATAACTAATTGATCAGCTATTATTTATTTTATTATTCTTTCTCTTTAGGTTGATGGTCATAAAGCGTTGAATGATACCATTTCATGCTAGGTGCCAACTATGGTTCTCATTAAGGTTGCTAAGAACAGACGATTGATAATTATTCCTGCTTCATGGTGTCAATTGATTAACTGTTAGATGTGAGCGTTCTAATAGCTACCAGGGAATTTTTGGATAGATGTGCCAGAATAGCTATTAGCACTCAGTTTTGCAATATATCTAACTGAGTGGACTATGGGAAAAATTGTGAATAGTGCTTTTTGAATTAACGTAGCTCATCAGAAATTGATTAGGTGAATTATTGTGATTATTTAGGTTTCCAACGAAACCTTTATAGAGCTGACGTCAGTATATGAAAGAACTTTTTTCCCTCCAGCTTGAACCTTTTTTT